GGCAGGGGGCATCAGAAGCATGGGGGTAACTCCACTTCGTGCCTCGTGGCGCCGTGGTGGGCGTTGCAGAGTTGAAAGTAGGTTGGCATAGGGTGCACTAGAGTATGTGGTGGAATGCCTAGGGGAAGCGTTATCTAGCATGGAGTTGCGTAAATAACAGGTGTAGCATGTAGGTCAGAGTAGAGTAGTTCGAGCCTGAGTTGCGCGCGCAGCAGGGTTAAGCTGAGGTGAGTAGACCAGCAAAGCAGCGCTTCGTGTAGATTGGGCGAGGTGGTCTAGACATGAGCACGCCGTCGTGCACGCGCGCTGCCCAAGAGGGCCCGATAAGTCTCCAAGACGGCCCGAGAGCGCCCAATATAAACGCCCACTGGCCCCAAGAGGACCCAATAGACCTCCAAGAAGCCACAGGGGCGCTCTACGAGGCCACCCGAGAAGGTGCCAAGATGTCAAACCATTGATTTTCACTCAGGGTCCCTATGTGATTGGGATTCTCGCTTCTTCGTGCCTCGACGCTCCATGCCGGACATCGAGGCTCCGAACAGCGCCCTAAGGCGGACCAAGCAACCCCTAAGAGGGCCCCAGCGCGGCCGCTCCGATCGTCCTGCTGCTGGCGGGCGCGATGGCGGCGGTCGCGAGGCTGCCCGCGCCGCGCCCGAGCAGATCACCATAGGGGACGAGAAGGGCATCGGCGGCCTTGGCGTCGAGGCCCTCCAGAGCGAGCGCGACGGCGCAGATGATGAGGACGAAGAAGATGAAGATGAGGAGGGTGACGGCCCAGAGGACGATCAGGCAGGTGCAAAGCAGCCTAAGTGATGAGTGAACAATCGCCAGATATGTAGGACGTTAATGCTTGCAGCCAGTCCGTCTCATGGTGGGCAGAGGTTCTGGGGTTGCTCGCGCGCGAGGCCGCACGCACTTGTTGCGATGATTACGGCGCATAGCTCAGAACCGCACCGCTGACCCCGAACACCCCATCCAGAACCGATGCTCGCGAGATAGTCTTTGGCCACTCCTTGCTGGGGCCACTTTGGGCGCTGCCACAGTGTGCCCCCCCAGGTGGAGTGAGGAGGAACATCGCGTACAGAAGGGGTAGAAGGGGTGAGATGCAAGCGTTGGCCCGGAGGCCACTTTGGCCCAGAGGACTGGCAATTTAACCATCGCGTGCATTTTGCTCGCGAGCTGCGTGGTGCAAGGGCATGGCTTGCCCAACCATGCATGCGGCAATCGTGTCGTGGCCGCCCGTGCGTGTACTCTCAGAGCTGCATCTTGCTGTCTGTTGCTCGTCTTCCCACCGCCTGCGCCTAGCGGGCGCCGAAGTTTGATGCAGCACAGGCGGTGCACAACCGTCTGGGAAAACACGTTGAGTGCAGACATCGGCGTCTTGAGATGCCCTGCGCCAGAGAACGTGTCATTCCCTCTCGGCCTCACCCTGGCTCACCACCTCTCACCTTTGTCATCGGCCTTTCTCCGCTGCCTCCTGTCCCATCCCATGCATTTCTCCTATGTCTACTTCCCCCATCAGTTCCCGCTCTGGAGGTGCATTGTGCCTGGTTGTGCTGCTAAGGTAGCGAAGCGGTGCATGGACCGATTGGGTTGCACTTAATGGTGATGCTTCGCGTGCCCCCTACCAGCCCATCCAGAGAAGATGGCTAGACAAGATGTCTTGGTCAGGGATGCGTTGCAACATGCAATGTGGCAGCATGCAGCGCAACCGAGAGCCTCGGGGTGGCCCCGAGAGTGGTAGTGGTGTGGGGGGGGGGGGGGGGGGGGGGGGGGGGGGGGGGGGGGTGGGGGGGGGGGGGGTGGTGGGGGGGGGGGGGGGGGGGGGGGGGGGAGGGGGGAGGGGGGGGGTGGGGGGGGGGCAATGTTGCATCCAAGGGGATTTGGGATGAGCCTTAAGATGGTTCCAATAAGCCCCAATAAGGCCGCGGGATGACGCCAGGAGGGTCTCAAGGGGGACCCCACGAGTGCCACCTGGCCGTGACTGCCCTTGTCTTTGGCTGCAGGGGGGGGGGGGGGGGCTCCTCTTGGGCTTGCCCAAGGGCCCTGGGGGAGGGGCCCTTAAGGGTACAAGCCAGGCTCATAGACGTGCCCAGGAGGGCCCAAATATGGGCCCCTAAGGGAGCTCCTTGCTGGTAAGGTCCTTGCCCTCATCGTTGACAGCAGGTGGGCTCATCGTGGGTCCCTCTTGAAGCATTCTGAGGGCCTTTCCGGTGCCTGGGGAGGGCGCCCGAAGGGCTTTAAGAGGGTCCCAAGAGGGCCCCAGGAGAGCCCCCATCGAGGCCTCAAGGGCCATCCAGCTGTCGAAACGGCGACTATCGTCATTTACAGCAAGTGGTTCCTCCTGGGAAGGCGCCCCAAGGGCCCGAATGGTGCCCAAGACTGGCTCAATGAGGGCCCCGAGGGTTGTCAAGATGACGGCCCTTGCCCTTGACAGCAGGGGTGCTCAGTCTGGGGTCGTTCGTGGGGCCTCCCTGTAGCTCGATTGGGACCTTCGTGGGGCTCTTTTGGCGCACCCCCCTCGTGGGGCCACCTAGCCCCCTCCCCCTCCTTCGCCCCGAAGCCTTGAGAGTGCCCCGGGAGGCCGCCAAGGAAGAGTTAACCTCATAAACGATCCACGCCCAGAAGCGGAGGTGCAGGGCAATTGCAAGGCATGGCAGGGTCATGTGCATGGTATTGCAGGGTGTTGGAATGCATTGCAGGTTCGTTTGCAGGGTCTGCTAGGGCCTGGTTTGCAAAGTATAGCAGGGTCGATTAGCAATGCCTTCCGGATATCGCATGACCAGCTTTGCGCCCCCCCCCCCCCCTGCAGGGTCTTGCGGACGCTGCGGCGAAGTCTAGGGGATAGAGCAGTGTGAGGGGTTACGATTGTAAGCTGCAAGGGCTAGCTACCTAAACCACCTGTGCCCAGAAGACTGCTGGACTTATATGATAAACTGCGCTTGAGTGCGGGTCTGGCGGCTGCTCTGTCGCCGCCGCCGACGCCCCGTCGCGGCCTCGACGCCGCCCGCTGGATTTGCATTGCTGGAGTGACTTATAAGGCCTGTAAGGCTCACGGGGCTGGATGGGGCTCGCGGGGCTTATACAGAAGACTCATAAGCCTGATGTCTTAGACGGTGCACGTGGGTTACGTGGTCTATATGTGGTTTCAATGCAACGTATATGATTCAAATAATTGGGAGTCTTGGTCGCGCTGGTACGTCTTATCTGTAGCATCTGCGTGTATGCCGTCTACGGTGAAGTGGGGTCATAGACCTTCTGGGGCCATGTCTAGGGTTTACGGCGGGCGTCTGTGATGTCAGTGCTTAGTTGGTGCATATAGGGCCTTGTGTGGCTGCTGCGTGTGAAGGCCATGAGGCCTGCAAGGGCCGTGCTGATGACCAAGCATATAGGGCTAGCAAGGCCTATATACAGGGCCTGTGGAGCTTACCGACGTTACAGGGTGCAAGGTGCCAATATGTCGTATAAGGGTCAGACACTTGATATTGAAAACATGTCGCGTAGGACGTCCAGGGCATGCACGGCTGATGTGGCTCATAATGGTGTATGCATTGCTCATGGTTCATCGGTGCATGTGGCTCGTAAGGCGTGCCGACTGTATATGGCTGGCATTGTATGGCGCATGTATTGGTTACGTGGCACGCGCTGTTCGTTGGGCATGTTTCTAGGGCTTATCATATATATAGATACCCGTCTGGTTTCAACATAGCAATTGCATCGGGTTCTGGACTTTGAGCCTCAAAGCCACAACCCCCCAAAAGCCATTGTCCGTTATGTAGCAGAATATTTTGTGTTCAGATATCTACGGGGCGCTGTGTGCCCTGGGCGAAGCATTGCGCACCGTGCGAGGGTATTCGCACCAAGCCAGGCGCAGGCCCCATGAGTGCGGCAATATTCCTGCCTGGAGCGCCGCCCGCCGAAGACGACGGGCAAGCGGCCGCTGTGGCGACTCCTGCGCCCCCTGCAAGCCCGACGGTGTTTGGTTGCCCTTCCGCGCAGGGGTGGCAACTGATGGTGGTGACGGGGCGCGGGGCAGAGACGGCGTCGCCGCTGCTCGCGGCTGGCGCCGCGGGCCCAACCACGGCGGCCGCCCAGCCGAGCCGCTCGAGATCGCCGCGCCAGGGTGGCGGCGCTGCATGCGACGAGCGCCTGCGCCACGCGTTGGCGCTCCAGCCGACGCTGGCCGAGTGGCAGGCGCTTGGCGTCGTCGCTCTGTGTCGTCGTCGGTAGTCGCCGTCGTCGTCGGGTTTCGTCGTTGTCGCCATCGTCGTCGTCGTCGTCGTCGCCGGCGGCGCCGATTCTTGTTGCCGATGTCGTCGGCCGCTGCCGCCGTCGCCACCGCCGCCGCCGCCGTCGTTGCCGTCGTCGAGCAGTGACGGGACGAGGGCCGACTGGCGACGGCTCCGACGGTGCCGACGCTGCATGTTGACGAAAGCGACGGCTGTGGCGACGAGGCGCACCGACGACGACGTGCACGACGGCCGACGGCGACGGATACGGTTGTTGCCTTTGTCGGTTCCAACCGTATTCGTCGCCGTCGGCCGTCGTACACGTCGTCGTCGGTGCGTGTCGCCGCCAGAGCCGTCGTATTCGTCACCATGCAGCGTCGACACCGTCGGAGTCGTCGACCGTCGGCCCTCGTCACTGCCCGACGACGGCATCGACGGCGGCGGCGGCGACGACGGCAAGGGCCGACGACATCGGCGACCAAGATCGGCGTCGACGGCGACGACGACGGCGGCAACGACAAAGCTCGACGACGACGACGACGACGACGACGAGGGCGACGATAGGGGCCAACGACGGCGACGACGACTATGAGGACTGACAAGGGCGACACCGACGACGAGGGGCGACAACGACGACGCGCCGACGACCGACGGCAATGGCGGACACGACAAAGGGCGGCGACGAATGCGAAAGGGATCCACAGCGAATGCGACGGCGACGACGAACGACGCGAGCGACAAGGGTTGTCGTCGTCGTCGTCGTCGGTCGAGGCGCATGCTCGCGCGGCGGAGAGGGCCGCCCTGACGCAGAGCGCGGCGGCCGACCGAATGCTCGACTTCATAGCCATGTACAGAGCGAGGGTCGACGGCCTGACGGACGAGAATACAAGGCTGAGGCGTCAGCTGTTGCACGAGCTGAGGAGCACGTCGCGGGACAGGCTGAACGAGAGGCGTCGGGGCGTGGTGCTGTCGCTGCTAGAGCGGACCGCAGAGCCCGCGATGGAGCTGCTGGAGCAGCGTGGCCAGTTCGACTCGCAGGGTGACCAGTCTGACTCGCAAGATGACCAGTCTGACAACGTCTCGGCAGACTACTACTGCGACGAGGGCGAAGATACCAGTTCGCCCACGCATTGCCATGATGATGGCATGGCGCCTCCCGCAAGGGTTGCGCGGCGCGCTATTCCTCTACCAGGTGCGCCTGTTTAAGGCTGCCCCTCTTGTTGGTGAGTGTGTGTTTGGCACCAAGTACGACGGCGCGGTTGGCGCTTGGTCTAATCGTCTGACGTTTGGTCAGCGGCCAATGCCCACAAGGCGGGTTGATGAGCATCCGCCGCGCCATGCGAGATGTGCGTTGAAGCTGAGAGCGGTCGTTGCCGCGACAGCGGCCTCCCTCTGCGCATCGCCATTTAGAGCGGGGCAGTTTGACTTGGATTGCGTGTGCCTCGCCAGTCGCACACTTGTGCGCGTCGTCACTGCCTCACTCGATTGCCTTCATTTTTTTGTTCCTGCAATGCCCCTTGGGTGCTGGCGCGGTTGCCTACCAACCCTATTGGTGGGGCCTATTTCTCATTGTCCCCCCCGCCAGAAAGCCCAGCAGTGCCCGAAGGCCATGCCATTGTTTTGCCCTTACATCATAACCACACTACATCAATGTTCTTTGCTGGTTGGAAATTTGCTCGTATGGGCTCGTGTTCCTGATGTGGCTCTCGTGGGCTACGGGTGGTAGTGGGCGCTCGTGGGTTCACCGTGCCTCCCTCGCCCACCCCCTGGACGCCTCGTGAGGCTCTATTGGGCCATCTTGGAGCCAGCGTGGAGTCTCGAAGGCCCATCGGGCGTGACGCGGTGGAACTGCACAACACATTAAACCTGACAGTGGTTTTGCAGGGTGTGGTTTCGTGGGGTGGCTGTCTCAAACCAGTGCAAGAGCCTTGGGGACTTCCTGGGAGCAGCCTTGGGGCGTTGGAGACATGGAGGGCTCCTGGAGGCATGGTAGGAGCTGTCATTGGTCATCGTGGATAGAAAAGCTCACGCACACGCACATGCATCCACATACATATACATATATATACACATATATGTACACATTGTGGGCAACTATGGGGCCTGCTGTTTCAAAGCTAGACGATGCGCCTATACGACGATACAACGATACTATGATATAATACGATAAGACGGTAAGGCGATACAACGGTGTGGAAAGCCGCCAAACGATAAGATGATAAGACGATATATGGTGCCGCCAGGCGATCAACAGACAAGCCGATAAACCGATACGATGTACCGTAGCATCGTCATATCGTTGTGCCGTCCCACCGCCCAACGCTGTAACTATCACCCCTGGCTCACAGCTAGCTATGCCGCGCTATGCCATTCAACGGCGCCCCGATTGGCCCCCCTCAGGGCCTCCCCTTTCTGGGGCCCGAGCGCCCCACCTTGGTCTCCGCCCATCAAGGCGCCTCACTTGGGAGCTCGCCTTGGGGCCCCTTCCAACAACCGAGCCAAAAAAAATCGGACCCTCCCCCTTCCTTCAAAAACCGTTTAAGGAAACGGTATGTGGGCCAAATGTCGCTCGATCTCGGCGGTCTTTGGGCGTCTTTATCGTCGTGTCGTCGTATCGTCTTATCGTCGTGTCGTCTCACCACCCAAAGCTACACTATCTTGGGAATGCCCCTATCTTGGGAATACCCCAGAACCCCCGCACCGTCGAACAAAACCTAACTCATGCTCCTCGAGGCCCGCGCGTGGTCGGCGGACGCATGCGCTATAGCCGAGCTTCGAACAAGCACACACCACCCACCGCACATATACAACCACGCAGCACCAAACACACGCAGGTTAGGTCCTCGTTTTGATCCCGCAGCGCCATGCGCTCCCTGCGCATTCGTCCTTCGCCTGGGCCTTCCTTGGTTTGAACCCGCTGCGCGCGTTCGGCCTTTGTTGTGAATCTGTTAAACCGCAGCGTGCATGTGGGTCGTCGTGTTGAATCCGCAGCGGCACATGCCCTATGATGCTTAGCATGGGTCCTCGCTGGCCCTCGTTTGTTGAATGCACAGCGCCGCGCGTCTCCGCCCCCGCTTCGGGGCGTGGTAAGGACACGGAACACGATGATGGTGAGTATGATTATAAGGCCGATGAGGAGGATGGGGGTCCTCGGCCACTCAGTGGATCCAGCCGTGGCGACGATGACAGCCATTTGGGCCCAAGCCGTTGTGGCGAACACAGGTTGTGCTTTTTCGTTCGTGGAGTGCGGCGGCATGGCCGCCTACCTGTTCACGGAGACCGAGATGACGCGCCCGCAGTCAGTGATGTTCGAGGACGGGACGTGGACCGATGCGCCGTACATGGAGTGGAGCCGCACCGACCAGTTCTGGCGGTGCTTTATGTGTTCGAATGCAGGGAACCGAGTGACAGCGGACCATTTGACGGGGAACAGGCATCTTAGCAGGACCCAGGGCCAGTGGAATCAGCTGGGCCAATTTACGCGCGGACGGCAGCAGATCGCGCGAGTTCACACGGACTACAACTACCAGCAGCGCGGAGTGCAGAATCAGCCAGCGTTGCCAGCTCCAGGGCTTCAACCGCCACAACCAGCGGGGGCGCCGCCAGCACCAGCGGCGGCACCGCCAGCACCAGCGGCGGCAGCGCAGCACACGCAGACCATCACCGACGCGCTGGAGCAGCACACGCAGACCATCACCGACGCGATGGAGCAGGTCATGGAGATGAAGACCGAACACATCGAGCGCATCGAGAGGAAGTTCGATGACGTCTTGGAGCGCCTGCAGCTCGTGGTCGACCGCTTAGCGCTCGTGTCCGACCGCCTCGCGGAGACGAACCAGCTGATCGGCGCGGCGCAGCCGCGCGGGGCCGTGCAGGCCGCGAGGGCCATGCAGGGGGGGCGGTTTGTGTTGAGTGGTTGGGTTTGTTGGATGGTTTAGTGTTGATGTATTGGTTTGATGTTGATTTTTTTTTTTGATTTTTGATTTTGAGTTTTGTTTTTTTTTGTTGATTGTATTTATTTTTGATTTTGATTTTTTTGTTTGATTTGATTTTTGATTTGTTTTTGATTGATTTTATGTGTTGGGATGATTTTTTGATTTTTGATTGTTGTTGATTTGTTTTAAGTTTTGCTTTTTGATTGTTCTTTTTTGATTGTGATGTTGTGATTGATTTTGGTTTGATGTTGATTTTTTTGTGATGTTTAGTTTTGATTGATGATGATTTGATTTTGATTTTTTTTTTTGATGATGCTCCGCCGCGGGCGCACCAGTAGACGTACGGCGTATCGGATGATGCATCGCGCCATCCATCGGGCGACGATGGCGACGCCGACGCCGACGACGACGACGACGACGACGACGACGACGACGACGAGGACGACGACGACGACGACGGTGGCGGCGGCGGCGGCGGCGACGACGACGACGGCGACGACGACGACGACGACGACGACACGGTTGCATGCATCGATCGATGCATCCGCAGTGCTTGAATAATTGCTAGCGCCGCTCTTTTACGCGTCAGTGGCGTGCTGCAGCAGCGCCGCTGCGACGACGTGTCAGCTCGCATCGGCGCTCTTGGCCAATAGGCACGAATTCTCGGCCGGCACGATTGGCTGAAACATGTATCCCCTCTTCTGGCGCCCCAGGATATGTGTGTAGTTGGTGCATATACATGGCCGTATACGGCATGCCAGGATCACATGGTGGTATGAGTCTCAGGGTCTTAGGGGTTCCAGTTCTGAAACCCGTGTGGTCGCATTGTGCAAGGTACTTGGCGGGCTGTTAAGACGAATGTGGTCGGCGCTAAAGCGAGAGTCGCATTCGCATAATGCTTACACTCCTGCTAATTTAAAGCGGTGAAGCCCTGATGCACTGAAGCTTATGAAACAACCCCATACCCTTACCATATGGGCAATCTTGGAACCATAATGGAGACGCATTAGGAACCCGCGTGACTCGGTCCTCTTCTTTTCCATGATCCTTTCCCCGCCTTTCCCCCTTCCCTCTCCTCTCTCTCCTTCTTCCTGCGTCCTCCGCCACCCGACTTCTTCTTGCCCCTGACCTCGCTCTCTTTCCCGCGCGTCCTACCTAATCGCCGATGCCCTCCCTCCCACTGCCCCTCGCCCGCGCCCGCGCCCGCTCCCTCGTCCGCCCGCTCCTGCCGCGCGCCCGCGTTTGCGTTTGCGCAACCCCCGCGCGCCAGAATCACCCGACGCTTGCGGGCGTTAGCCTGCAAACGCCCGCAAACACCTGCAAACACCTGCAAACACCTGCAAACGCCTAAAACGAAGCAAATTGTAAGCAAATTGCAAGCAAAAAGTAAGCAACTTGAAGCACAATGTGCTTCAACGGGGTCAATTTGCTTCAATTAGCTTCACTTAGCTTCAATTTGCTTCAATTTGCTTCATTGGTTTAGCTTGTTGCATGCGTCGCGTTGCTGGTTACCAGCGTTTTTTAAGCTCAATGACCTTACAGTTTGCTTCAACGACCTTACTTTTTGCTTCAACGACCTTACTTTTTGCTTCAACGACCTTGACGTTTTGCTTCAACGACTTTGACGTTTTGCTTCCACACTCGTGTTTTTTAAGCAAAATGTAAGGTCGTTGAAGCAAAATGTAAGGTCGTTGAAGCAAAATGTAAGCAAAATGTAAGCAAAATGTAAGCTAAGTGGCGCGATCGCCAACGACGTTTTGCTTCCGCACCCGCATTTTTTAAGCAAAATGACGCGACCACGACTTTTTTATTTTTTTTTTTTTCTTTTGTTTTTTTTTATTTTTTTTTTTTTCTTTTGTTTTTTCATTTTGTATTTGTTTTTTTTTTGGTTTTTTTTTGATGACCACGACTCGCGTTGACTCATGCGCGTCGTGTTTTTTAAGCAAATTGCCAAGCGCGCGAGTTAAGCATCTCCCACACCCCCCACCTACCCACCCCCACGCACCCCTTGCGCCCATGCCCACTGCCCACTGCCCGCGCGTGCCCTAAGTACCCCCCCCCCCCCCTCCGTCTCCCATCTACCCGCCCTCCCCTTCCCCCATCGCCCGCCCGCTACCCGCCCGCCTGCCGCCCCGCTTGCTCCCCCCCCCCCCCACCGCGCACGCCCAGCGCCCGTTCCACC